GCTGACAACACCATATTTAAGGTATTTGTGAGGGGGCTAATTGGCATGGTCTATTTCAATATAAAATGCCTATAATTCTCCTATTTGGTGGCATAAAGGGGATCATTACACCCACCTAAGCTGCATTAAAACGATGATCAAGAAAATATGCGGTAAGTTGTCCAGTGAGAAATGCGATTTCCGTGTTTCTTTATTTACAGCCAAAAGAGGGTCGTGTGGCAGCACAAGTATGGTTGACAGGCCTATTGGCTGCAACTCCAGTGTTGCTTAAGTGCTGCTGTCAGGTCCTCGATTTTATTGCTGAATGAAGCCACTTGCTCCATTGCAGGTTATCACGTACTCCCACTCTCATGGCATTTGCTGACAAATCGCCCACGATATTATTTGGTGTGAGCTGCATTCCAAAGGGTGATAACAAGGAGAATTATTTTCAATGAAATTCGTTTGCATTGTAACAGCACCTTCACAACCCAACTAGTTGGAACTCACTTGGAATGGATCACCTTAAGTGTTGCTGTAGGCAATGCCGAAAGTGACAAAGCTGTTGGGCATTAATTGCGTACCTTTGGAGTGCAATGAACTTCCAATCTAGTAGTGATGAATTTAAATTATAATAGGAGCTCTGCAGCCACAGCATTTCTTCGATCATCACTGACGCCATGCTGACCTTGACACGATGTGACCTCATGGTGCTGCTCGAAGACGCAAATGCTGCTGCCAAATGATCGCTGACAGCATTCTTCGTAGAGATGAAATCGTCAAATCAGAACCACCAGCAATGGCCGCATTGTTTTGTGTCCGGGCTTATTGCGCGCCAATCCTCCTCTCAATTGTCCTTTATCATGGCATGCAACGACGAGACGAGACTGCAGACGTATTTCAAGTCAACGTTGCAAATGGTCAACTTTCACTGATAATTCGCAAGTTAAATAAGCGCAAACAATAGACATTCGCGAGCTGATCTAGAAGTCATGCCCTTCTAACAAATTGTCAAGTTGACCCATTTTGAAACATTGCCTAAGCTACTGACCTTGAGTATTCGGTTGATTTGGTGCGGCCAGACGTGGCATAGTGCAGTGCCAACGATACAGCCATATGCACCACATTGAGCTATATTTTCATCTCTTCATTAATAAAAAACTTGATTTTATACATAGGAATGACCCAGTGAGTGTACAGACATCCATCATTTGGGTAGTTCCCAATGCCGTTTTGGAGGGCGCCCAAAAAACCTCCTTCCTACTCACTTCCTGTGTTAAACTACTTGACCAACTTGCATTAATGCCAAGAAAGCAAAGTACGTCTTTCCATACCGGCAAACTAAGGGTTTTCTTAAAATGAAGTATGCGGCGATGGTGGCGAGGGCTAAACGCTTACTGTAACCCCTAACTGACAGCAGTCATCGAGACACCAGCTACACCCACGGTAGAGAACGTGCACGATGGAAGCGATCGATTTCCTGACTCATGAAGTCCCGCCTAGGACGCAAACTTTTGGGCATTCACCTCTTCGCACATACTCGGAGCCATGAGACTGACTCACTATCTCTGATCCTCTGAATGGAGTGCTATATGACTGGCGTTTTATTAAATTAAACAATGAAGGTCTTGATCAAAGGGTGCAGACTGTTCGGGAACTCCAACCACTGTACTGTACGAAGATGCGCTCCTTACCCAATCCAGCTGAAAAACAGGGACACAGAACCCTTCCTGAAGGCGAATAAAATTGTCTACACGCAGGAATGCTTTTGCAAATTAACAGCGTCTACATTATTTAGCTAAAATTAAAGGCAGCATCGCTTCATTGTATAATGTACAGTGTAGTTTCTTATATCATATGTCTTGCTTGAAGAGAAATGTCTTCTTGTTAAATGACTAATCAGACCAGTTTCCCTGATATCCTGCCATCTCCAAATGGAAATCATTTCCCCATGATGCCAGCGAAGTGAAAGCAGCTGGTCCCGCAGCACATCAATTTAACCTCCAACTGACTGTCACACATTGCAATCACAAGTCAGGTCAGCTCAATATTTCAATGACGTGTTTGTGAGTCCGTCGCTGACTGACAAATCGTTAAACTGGTTAAATCAACGTCGACGAGGAATAGTAGCAACACCAGCATGCTCACTGCAGCTCAAGCACTAATTTAGGCGAATCCAGGAAAAAAGCAGCCATTGTTTATACAAACACACATAAGAGGAATGCCTATTAGGCTTATGCTTATTTCGTCCACTCACTCGCTCCTATTAATTTGACTGACGTGAAAGAGAAAGGGGAAAAGTCTTCACTGAATGATTATCACCCAAAGTTGCAATAGTCACAAGGCTACAGCTCATTCAGTCCCGTCGTCACTGACGAATGTACGGTCACTTTACAGCTGTAAGTGATGTGAATCAGCAATTAATGCTGTGGTTACTGAAGTCACTACTTACAAATTATTAAAATCAAGAACAGATTAGGACAATGTAGGTGAATAAAGGGTTAATTTGCATTAAAATCGTCCAGAAAGTGTTTGACTTCGTTCAGCGAGAGTTATCTTACAAATCAGTCGCCCTACCGAGCCACCTCGACATACACTACGTTGAGTTGCATCAGCTGAAGACATACAGTTTGAGTGAATGCAACGTTTCTTGATTGCAACAAGTGTCACAATCCCCTGCTCATTTGTGCCTTTTGTCGATGCACCCTGAAATGCCATTCGCCGATTATTTCAATCATTTCATTCATGCCTCTTGTTCCATGTAGATGGCAAGCATCCGAACAGGAGGTATGGCGTGCGATTGAGAAACAAATTCAATGCAACTGCAACTGCAAATCGTTTTTGAGTCACATATAATTATGACAATGTCTTGAGTAGATACAAATCAGTTGCATCTCATCCAGCCCTCAAAGAATGAGGAACTGGCTGCAATGACCATTACATGAAGTGAAATATGGCCGGCGCATCACCATTACGCTGGTTTAATAAATGCAGTGTTTTTTGCTTAAATTTGCATCAGTGTGAAGCCTTAACCGGTAAAAAAGTTAATAGTATTGAGGACAAAATGTACTGGTCTTGGATGGAGGACGACAGCGATGACCGACTGGTGGAGTCGCATCTATGAGTATGCAACGAGAAGTTGTTGTGCTGAAGTGGGTAAGGGTGAATAATTGAAAGACAGAAGTTGGTCTGAGGAGACGAAAGCGTCGAATCGCTGAGTGCGCCATGTTCAGGAGAATGTGAACAACAGTATCGACAGCGAAGTAGCCCAACGCTTAGGCTGATGTGTGCGTGTGATTTTATTTGTTAAGTAAATGCACGTATTTTTAATGAAGGAGTTAATTATACAGTTTGACAATCCGTGTATCGATGAGAATGAAACAGTAAACCATCTGGGCTGTGGTGAATATGGAGCCATGTTCTGTGAGTGCATAATCCCTTCTGTGACATGCTATAAGAATAGGTCGTTCAGATGAGTTTTGAGATGGCAAGGTGTTTCTCGTATTGAACAAAAAGCAAGCCGATAAAACACGTAGGACTGTAGTATCCCCCTCAAGCCACTGTGGCTTATCTTTTCTTTTTTGACGCTTATCGTAACGAATTGTATATAATTACCTTTCCTCATGTTTTTCTCGTCTCTTCGTTTGATTGTAGCAGAGTTGCTATTATCAACTAGCGTTTCGTGGTTTTCCATGACTTATTATGGGTATCAGTCTAGAAATTGACTGCAAGCAGACTGGGGGAAGCTCTCTCATTAAAATGGAGATGAATATATGGTTTATCAATCACACAGCAGAAAGTACTGCGTGGGTGTGTGGAAGGAGTACAGATATCTCTTAGCGTGTACGCACAGGATAGAGAAAAAATCGTCCTCGTGAGCTAGCCGAAGTAAATTACTGGTGGTGGGTAAACCGATGGGGCAGATCTGAAGTGCTCTTGACGTTCATCCGACTGCATCCTTCTCCACGAGAATTGCAGTGGCAAATCGTGAGAAAGATAGGAGGGAATTTTGGGCCAGGCTGTGTCTTGAGTTCAGCTAAGTGTCTTCGTAGTGTGTCATGCCCATCAGCGTCGACACCTTCATAATGATTAGTTTGCAAATGTGATTATTTGATTAGTTACGGCTTATTACCATGATCTGGGGTTTTCTGAGTACTCCTCTATGCTTCATTGTGAATTATTTGCATCAACCCCGCCGATTATTTTATTCTACCTTTGCATAATTTAACAACTTTTCGTCTCTGCCTCACTGTAACCTTCAATTTCCTCACAAACGAGTGCGACGCGGCAAAGGTGATGACCATGTGTCATCTTTGAACCGACACGACAGCTGACAACACCATATTTAAGGTATTTGTGAGGGGGCTAATTGGCATGGTCTATTTCAATATAAAATGCCTATAATTCTCCTATTTGGTGGCATAAAGGGGATCATTACACCCACCTAAGCTGCATTAAAACGATGATCAAGAAAATATGCGGTAAGTTGTCCAGTGAGAAATGCGATTTCCGTGTTTCTTTATTTACAGCCAAAAGAGGGTCGTGTGGCAGCACAAGTATGGTTGACAGGCCTATTGGCTGCAACTCCAGTGTTGCTTAAGTGCTGCTGTCAGGTCCTCGATTTTATTGCTGAATGAAGCCACTTGCTCCATTGCAGGTTATCACGTACTCCCACTCTCATGGCATTTGCTGACAAATCGCCCACGATATTATTTGGTGTGAGCTGCATTCCAAAGGGTGATAACAAGGAGAATTATTTTCAATGAAATTCGTTTGCATTGTAACAGCACCTTCACAACCCAACTAGTTGGAACTCACTTGGAATGGATCACCTTAAGTGTTGCTGTAGGCAATGCCGAAAGTGACAAAGCTGTTGGGCATTAATTGCGTACCTTTGGAGTGCAATGAACTTCCAATCTAGTAGTGATGAATTTAAATTATAATAGGAGCTCTGCAGCCACAGCATTTCTTCGATCATCACTGACGCCATGCTGACCTTGACACGATGTGACCTCATGGTGCTGCTCGAAGACGCAAATGCTGCTGCCAAATGATCGCTGACAGCATTCTTCGTAGAGATGAAATCGTCAAATCAGAACCACCAGCAATGGCCGCATTGTTTTGTGTCCGGGCTTATTGCGCGCCAATCCTCCTCTCAATTGTCCTTTATCATGGCATGCAACGACGAGACGAGACTGCAGACGTATTTCAAGTCAACGTTGCAAATGGTCAACTTTCACTGATAATTCGCAAGTTAAATAAGCGCAAACAATAGACATTCGCGAGCTGATCTAGAAGTCATGCCCTTCTAACAAATTGTCAAGTTGACCCATTTTGAAACATTGCCTAAGCTACTGACCTTGAGTATTCGGTTGATTTGGTGCGGCCAGACGTGGCATAGTGCAGTGCCAACGATACAGCCATATGCACCACATTGAGCTATATTTTCATCTCTTCATTAATAAAAAACTTGATTTTATACATAGGAATGACCCAGTGAGTGTACAGACATCCATCATTTGGGTAGTTCCCAATGCCGTTTTGGAGGGCGCCCAAAAAACCTCCTTCCTACTCACTTCCTGTGTTAAACTACTTGACCAACTTGCATTAATGCCAAGAAAGCAAAGTACGTCTTTCCATACCGGCAAACTAAGGGTTTTCTTAAAATGAAGTATGCGGCGATGGTGGCGAGGGCTAAACGCTTACTGTAACCCCTAACTGACAGCAGTCATCGAGACACCAGCTACACCCACGGTAGAGAACGTGCACGATGGAAGCGATCGATTTCCTGACTCATGAAGTCCCGCCTAGGACGCAAACTTTTGGGCATTCACCTCTTCGCACATACTCGGAGCCATGAGACTGACTCACTATCTCTGATCCTCTGAATGGAGTGCTATATGACTGGCGTTTTATTAAATTAAACAATGAAGGTCTTGATCAAAGGGTGCAGACTGTTCGGGAACTCCAACCACTGTACTGTACGAAGATGCGCTCCTTACCCAATCCAGCTGAAAAACAGGGACACAGAACCCTTCCTGAAGGCGAATAAAATTGTCTACACGCAGGAATGCTTTTGCAAATTAACAGCGTCTACATTATTTAGCTAAAATTAAAGGCAGCATCGCTTCATTGTATAATGTACAGTGTAGTTTCTTATATCATATGTCTTGCTTGAAGAGAAATGTCTTCTTGTTAAATGACTAATCAGACCAGTTTCCCTGATATCCTGCCATCTCCAAATGGAAATCATTTCCCCATGATGCCAGCGAAGTGAAAGCAGCTGGTCCCGCAGCACATCAATTTAACCTCCAACTGACTGTCACACATTGCAATCACAAGTCAGGTCAGCTCAATATTTCAATGACGTGTTTGTGAGTCCGTCGCTGACTGACAAATCGTTAAACTGGTTAAATCAACGTCGACGAGGAATAGTAGCAACACCAGCATGCTCACTGCAGCTCAAGCACTAATTTAGGCGAATCCAGGAAAAAAGCAGCCATTGTTTATACAAACACACATAAGAGGAATGCCTATTAGGCTTATGCTTATTTCGTCCACTCACTCGCTCCTATTAATTTGACTGACGTGAAAGAGAAAGGGGAAAAGTCTTCACTGAATGATTATCACCCAAAGTTGCAATAGTCACAAGGCTACAGCTCATTCAGTCCCGTCGTCACTGACGAATGTACGGTCACTTTACAGCTGTAAGTGATGTGAATCAGCAATTAATGCTGTGGTTACTGAAGTCACTACTTACAAATTATTAAAATCAAGAACAGATTAGGACAATGTAGGTGAATAAAGGGTTAATTTGCATTAAAATCGTCCAGAAAGTGTTTGACTTCGTTCAGCGAGAGTTATCTTACAAATCAGTCGCCCTACCGAGCCACCTCGACATACACTACGTTGAGTTGCATCAGCTGAAGACATACAGTTTGAGTGAATGCAACGTTTCTTGATTGCAACAAGTGTCACAATCCCCTGCTCATTTGTGCCTTTTGTCGATGCACCCTGAAATGCCATTCGCCGATTATTTCAATCATTTCATTCATGCCTCTTGTTCCATGTAGATGGCAAGCATCCGAACAGGAGGTATGGCGTGCGATTGAGAAACAAATTCAATGCAACTGCAACTGCAAATCGTTTTTGAGTCACATATAATTATGACAATGTCTTGAGTAGATACAAATCAGTTGCATCTCATCCAGCCCTCAAAGAATGAGGAACTGGCTGCAATGACCATTACATGAAGTGAAATATGGCCGGCGCATCACCATTACGCTGGTTTAATAAATGCAGTGTTTTTTGCTTAAATTTGCATCAGTGTGAAGCCTTAACCGGTAAAAAAGTTAATAGTATTGAGGACAAAATGTACTGGTCTTGGATGGAGGACGACAGCGATGACCGACTGGTGGAGTCGCATCTATGAGTATGCAACGAGAAGTTGTTGTGCTGAAGTGGGTAAGGGTGAATAATTGAAAGACAGAAGTTGGTCTGAGGAGACGAAAGCGTCGAATCGCTGAGTGCGCCATGTTCAGGAGAATGTGAACAACAGTATCGACAGCGAAGTAGCCCAACGCTTAGGCTGATGTGTGCGTGTGATTTTATTTGTTAAGTAAATGCACGTATTTTTAATGAAGGAGTTAATTATACAGTTTGACAATCCGTGTATCGATGAGAATGAAACAGTAAACCATCTGGGCTGTGGTGAATATGGAGCCATGTTCTGTGAGTGCATAATCCCTTCTGTGACATGCTATAAGAATAGGTCGTTCAGATGAGTTTTGAGATGGCAAGGTGTTTCTCGTATTGAACAAAAAGCAAGCCGATAAAACACGTAGGACTGTAGTATCCCCCTCAAGCCACTGTGGCTTATCTTTTCTTTTTTGACGCTTATCGTAACGAATTGTATATAATTACCTTTCCTCATGTTTTTCTCGTCTCTTCGTTTGATTGTAGCAGAGTTGCTATTATCAACTAGCGTTTCGTGGTTTTCCATGACTTATTATGGGTATCAGTCTAGAAATTGACTGCAAGCAGACTGGGGGAAGCTCTCTCATTAAAATGGAGATGAATATATGGTTTATCAATCACACAGCAGAAAGTACTGCGTGGGTGTGTGGAAGGAGTACAGATATCTCTTAGCGTGTACGCACAGGATAGAGAAAAAATCGTCCTCGTGAGCTAGCCGAAGTAAATTACTGGTGGTGGGTAAACCGATGGGGCAGATCTGAAGTGCTCTTGACGTTCATCCGACTGCATCCTTCTCCACGAGAATTGCAGTGGCAAATCGTGAGAAAGATAGGAGGGAATTTTGGGCCAGGCTGTGTCTTGAGTTCAGCTAAGTGTCTTCGTAGTGTGTCATGCCCATCAGCGTCGACACCTTCATAATGATTAGTTTGCAAATGTGATTATTTGATTAGTTACGGCTTATTACCATGATCTGGGGTTTTCTGAGTACTCCTCTATGCTTCATTGTGAATTATTTGCATCAACCCCGCCGATTATTTTATTCTACCTTTGCATAATTTAACAACTTTTCGTCTCTGCCTCACTGTAACCTTCAATTTCCTCACAAACGAGTGCGACGCGGCAAAGGTGATGACCATGTGTCATCTTTGAACCGACACGACACTACAACCTACAGCCTCTCGGTACTCTATTGCCACCACTGCCGTCAACCCGAGATCGCCTACGATCTCTCCGACATCGCCACTTTGGCTTATTATGGCAATTTACACCATTCTCAAGCAGCTGCAGTCCC